GTATGGTTACTCAAGAAAAAATCAAAAATTTTGAAAAAAGCAGAATTATAAGTCCACCTGGAGTTTTTACTGATTAAAGCACTTTTTAGCTTTCGAACTTTTTTTTAGGTATGTACACATTCAGAAGTGTTGGACATTTGCTATAGTCAAGTTGTGTCGTACCTCCAAAAGGACTGATTATCTGCTTTTTTTGCCCTGAAAATGCTTTCACACGTTCCGCTCTAAAAACGTTGAGGGCGTTGAGTAAGAAATTCTGCAGTTTCTCAACTGGATTGGAAGCGACGAGGTTTCGTCTACCTTCTGGATGCTTTTTGAGTGAGCATTGAGGAAAAAGTCTGACTTTTTACTACCGACACAAATCCGACATCGACATTTCTGCAATCCTGAGCTCAAATTTCTGTCTTCAAACTTCATTTGAGATGTCCTCAGAAGCATTAACTAAAGTAAAGGCATTGTTTCTACGAAGAGGAGTCCGTATTTCATGGTTACAACTTTGTAGAGATCCTAGCACTCAAGTATAGTTACTAAAATCACCCTGCAGAAACTGGATGCGAGAAGCACCAAAGCTAATTGTGGCTTCGATCAAATTTTTCAGGAGAATTTTGTGCTAACGTACAATACAAGCTGTATCCGCTATCCAGTAAATAAATCACTGTCAAAAATCTAAGTGAGGTAGCACTTGGCAAGCTATTTTGAAAGTGAGTAACACCATCATTACGCTGCACAACTCGAGTTCCGAAAAATAAACGAAGGGGAGGTTTGTGATAAATTGTGAGTATGGGGTACACTTCTCTTTTGTGTAAAAAATGCTTTTACAATATTGTGAGGTTATGATGACAACGCGTAAAGGTTTAGGGCAGAAACTGAGGCTTAGGCTTCCGATTAAGTCGATGTCGGATTTGATTCAGCAACAAAAAGTCAGATTTTTTCCTCAGTGATCACGTTGAAAAGCATCTAGAAGGGAGATGAAACTCGTCGCTTCCGATCCAGCTGAGAAACTGCAGAATTTCTTGCTCAACCAGATTTCTAGAGCAAAATACTTGTGAAAGCATTTTCAAGGCAAAAAAGGAGATAATCAGTCCTTTTGGAGGTGTGCCACAGCTTGACTAAGGCAACTGTTTAACACTTTTGAATCTGTACACACCTAAAAATTCGGAAGCTAAGAAGTGTTTCAATCAGTAAAAACTTCAGATGGACTTGTAGTTTCGACCAGTCTTCAAGCCTGCTTTTTTTCAAAAATTTTGACTTTTTTCTTGAATAACCACACGAAAACGAGACCGTTTGATGACTGATATTAAGATGGTAAACACACGACTGTACCAAATTGTGGAATATTTTATTGAGAACAAAGTGAGTTGTGGCATTTTTTAAAGTGGACCTATGATTTTGTCCAGCACTGTATCAGGTTTATTAGTGATTACAATTGTTTCTACACACACATTGCTTCTTTTCTGAAAATATATTTGTAAAAAACATTTTAAAAAGGGGAACTACTCGAGTAGCAATAAACTTCACAAATCATTCAGAAAGCCCTACCATTTCGGAAGCTCTGCACAATCATGCGAGATCATGGGAAAATTTTTCAATTACCATGCTTTCTCTGCAGATAGCCACCCTATGGGTCGCTAACAAGTGAGTGTGGCAGATAAGTTCTAGCGCCTAGGTGACCCTACAGGTCGCCACTGAGAAGGGCAAATAATTTGTTATGCCCAGTTTCCTTACATGTCGCTAGCAAGTGGGTGGGGCAGATAATTTGTAGCTTGTGTAACTCTACGGGCCGCCAGCAAGTGGGGGAAGATAATTTGTAGCGCCCGTGACCCTAAGGGTCGTTAGCAGGTGGATAAAGTAGATGATATGTAGTGCCTAGATTCCTTAAGGGTCACCATCAAATGAGAGCAAATAATTTGTAGTGCCCAGATTCCTTACATGTCGCTAGCAGGTGGGTAGGGCAGATAATTTGTGGTGTCCAGTGTCCCTACGTATTGCTAGCAAGTGGGAGCAGATATTTTGTAGATATTTAGGAGAGTCTAGATTCTTTACATATAGCTAGCAGGGGAGTAGGCAAATAATTTGTAGCCTGAGTGACCCGATCGCTAGCAAGTGGAAGCCGATATTTTGTAGCACTCAGTGACCCTCCGGATCTCTAGCAGTGTAGACAGATAATTTTTGGTACCCAGTGACCCCACGATCCCTAGTATGGGATATTGTGGCACCCAGGTGACACTACCGATAGCTAGCAAGCGGATAGGGTAGATAATTTGTAGCCTGATTGACCCTACGGATCGCTAGCAAGTGGGAGCAGACAACTTTTGGTGCCCAGTGACCCTACGGATCGCTAGCATGGGGCAGATATTGTGTAGCAAGGTGATGCTACTGATAGCTAGCAAGCGGGTAGAGTAGATAATTTGTAGCCTGAGTGACCCTATGGATCGCTAGCAAGTGGAGAGGCACATAATTTGTAATGTGTAGGTGTCCCTTCGTATCGATAGCAGTAAATAGGGTAGATAATATGAGGCTAGGTTAAGGCACAGATATTCTTATAGTGTCAACTTTAGCACAAATTATTCTCCCATTTTGGTCGTTGTGCGCTCACACCATCAAGAAAACGAACGTATCAGATCTTTGAAAGATTACAAAATGGCTGCTTGTGTGAACAATTTTGTGCAACTATCCAAGAATAACTATCCATGCAAAGCAGCTCTTTTCCTCACACTCCAGTTGAAGCTTTCTCAAAGTTCCTCTTGAAGACTTCTGCATGCTCTTGGAACTTGGTTTTCCTCCACTTTTATGGAAGTTTTCTTTAAAAGTAGTAGTTGCACCTGAACTACTATGACAGTAACGCAGATTTTAATTACAAGTCGTGTACGATGTTCAGACAACAGGGGTAGAGACAATGTTTAACCGAGTTTCTAGAGTAGTTTGATAGAATTTTCTTGCAACAAAAGCATCGGCTTGGAGCTCCACCAAGTCTTTTGTATTCCATAAAGGTCATCCTGAAGTCGTTCACAAATGTTCTCTGAGCAGGTTTTCAGATTTTTGAAAATCGCTGCAAAATAGGATATCTACAATGCAAAGACCCTTGTGAATATATTTCAATTTCTTCCCTATACTCTTACCCTTTCTGGCTTATGTAACAAATTCGCCTCTTTTAGAAACATTTTGAAAAGCCCTTCAAGTCCAATGTCTTAAAAAGTTGGTATAAGATTTGTACATATAACGAACCTTTGCAAAAACTTTGCAAAGAAATGACTCGTTTTCGTTCCAGTATTTTGCCAAATTGCGAAAGTATTGTCAGATCCAATCCATTATAGAATAAGTTAAATAAACATTGCAACTTGTGTCCAAACAGAATTTTTTCCTCCTTCCAGCTGCTGTAACTGCAATGTGATTCATTGCGAGAGTGCTGAGATAATCGTTGGAATTTACAGCCCTTGATTTTTACCATGTCTTTCGCTAATTTTCAAAATTTTCACGTGAGACTTTAGGAGACGGTTTGATAGCAGGCAACTTTTTGCCATTTGAACCAATTTTTTGCAGCCATACGGCTTGTGTTTCAGAATTCCTAAAATTAAATTTATAGAGCAACATAATTTCACGTGGCGTACTTTAAGCTCGTAAAACACGAAGTGGTAAGCAGTCCAAGTATCAGGTAAGTTCTCCTTTCTCTAATAGTTGTCTTTTCATATCATGACGAGACAAGCGAAAACAAAACGACAATTTCCCAATTTCACTGGTGCACATTGGTATCTTAAGTTTCGAAATCTTCACAATTTGAGGCGGAAATCATCATCACTTTGTAAGGTTAGTAGTAGCAGTAATGTGTTAAAACCTCTATTCCGAAGATTTAGCAGTGTTTGTTGCAACAGGTTATGCGAGTTTTGCAAACTCGAGACTTTTGGGAAGTTATTTAGCAAAATTCCAAAAAGGAGCTTAGAAAAGAGGAAAAATTTTTTAGCTGGCAAAAGGTTCTCTAGCTGGTTATTGAAACTTTCCCAAAAGTTTCAGACAAAAAATTCGAAAAGTAGCGAAAGCTGGACCTTTTGAACAAAGTGTTGTACATCCCAGCGATGATCAGAGCACTCTCTTAACAAATCACACGATTAATACAGCAACTGGTAAGAGGAAGAAATTCTGTTTTAAATACATTTCGAAGCGTTTGTTTATCTCTATAAACAGTCCCAATTGCAAATCACAAGCATCCAAAACCGCCGACCTGACGAAGTGCCAAGTGTCTCATTGCGTAAACAAATTGACCACAGCATCAAAACGGCTCCAAAAATAGTCATGCTGAAACGCGTAAACAATCTCAACAGTGCCAAGTGCCCCACTATGTAAACAAACGTATCGTCAGCGTCAGAACCACCGGCAGAGCAGCAGTCGGCAGAGTGTGAACTCAAATGCACCCAGAAAACTCTCACTCCCTGCCTTGCATTCATACCTAACCGCTCATTGATGAGTACGTTTTTTTGGCGTGATAGCCGGGCACGCCTCCTCGCAACCCGACCACCTCCGCGCTCTCCCTACTCACTTGTCTAGGAAGGTGTGGCTAATAATCTGGAAATTGCACTCTTACCATTCGTTAATATATACTGATTTTTCAAAAAAATGAGTTTAATCCAGCGGATATGAAGTGCGGATGCAATACCGTGCTCGATACAATTTAACAGATGACCAATTGTTTGAAACCGCAGCCAGCACCATTTGCGTGGGGGTTCGCAGTTGTCATAAACAATTTTTCTTTAGAAAGAAGTCTTTTCAGAAGTGAAACGCGCAAAAGACTTGTGCTGCCTCAACGACCGGCCTTGAACTTTTTCCAAGTCACTAATCTTGCTAAGTTTCTATCGTTGCCTACAGTAGATAGTACTCTGACAACAGGCACTTAAGAAATAACTGTTTTTCTTTGGATTTGCATTTTCGTCACAATAAATCCTGACACTGCAAGTGTACTGTAGAATTCAAGGCCGCAATGAATATACCGTGTTCGTCATTAACACATTAAAGGTAGATAGTTATCAAGAAGAAAAAACTAGCAGAAAATGGCAGAAAGATTACAGAGAGCTGAATATTCTGAGGCGCTATCAAATGAGATGTCCAAATGAGAATCGTTCAAAATTTTCTAGAATTTCAACTCCCGTCGTTCAAAATATGGAAGATGGATTGCATGATTTGAAGCAAACATCATAACGAAAGTCCAGAGCAGATTAAAGTGAAACACGAGAAAAAATGCATGCATTATTTACTTACTTCGTTACAAGTTGAATACAAAATATATTGCATACGTACACAACATTATTTCGACGTGTAATTCCCGAAGGTAACATTTGTTGTTAATCATCATGATCATCATCTCGATAATCAATGGAACATTGCGAGAGTGGAGGATCATCTTCAGAGTATGGATCAGCTATTTTGCAGGATCCTTCGCTTACATTTACTAATATCAAGTTGCCAGCCTTGTTTCGGACTCCAACGCGAAATCCAGATTCGAAATGCTTTTCCATAAAGTACTTGAGAAATGGTCTAAACACTGAGACTGAGATTACAAAGTTTATGCACTGAAGAATTACAGCGTATGCTAAACACTTTCATTCTCACATCACTACTTACGTTTTGTTTAGCTCAGATTCGGGTATTAGTTCACATCTTCTCACTTTATAAACCATATCTTCAGTGAGTGCCAACATACACCCGATATATAGTCTGTTAATTCTCCGTTTGCCATCCAGCCACTGCTGAAAAACAACGATGGTATGCAGCTTATCTCTCAAAATTGGTCATGTGCAAATGTGAAATGGAATAATGTTTTTTAAATCAAGGTGTATTCCCAGCGAAGGATACATGACAGTGCGCTGTGATAGTAAGGGCTAACTAAGTCTCCGTTTCCACAGTACACTGTGAACAAAGACTTAGTTAGCCCTTAGTATCCGCTTGCTGGTTTGACATTTCCGGTCTTGGCCGTATGCCTAGCTAAGAACCAACCAGGTCGATTCACCGCCGTTTGACTTTTCTGATTGCTAAGCAGTATAGTGCATATCCAGTGTTAGCGCCCGTAGAAATCAGGAGTAGGCTTAGTAAGTCTGCTCTTGGACGGTGAGAAATTTTCTTACTCGTTCAGCAAAAAGAAAAACAAGCCCTGCACATCGGACCCCGCCTAGGTCGCTGGGTGGTAGTAAGAACGATGTCGGGGACCTCAGGGCACCTTTTGAATCCATGGAGATTGCCTATGCTCTGCACCTACAACGACAGGACAGCCTCCACCAACGCCTACCTCCACACCCTTCGCGATGCCGCAGAGCATATCAAAAGCTATATCATCGCTTTGCAAGAAATGAAAACCAAGATAAGGCATGTGCGACAAATGAGGATGTGACCTCATCATTTGTGATGAGAAAGTTTCATCATGAAACATTGGAAACGTTGACTTCGTCGTCACTTCATCCATCGTCCATCTACCAATTCGCATGAGAACTTGTCATTTCGACTAGCCATCCTACGACTACGACCTCGATGTCAGAAGACCATCAGCATCATCAACTGCTACCCCCGAACATCAGCAGCGAATCAGAATTGGATGCTTTCTACGAAGTCTTTCTACAAGTTTGTTGTGGGCGTCAAAGCGAAAATCGTAATCCCATCAAAAGAGTAATATAGGGGACTTTGGATATGATATCCGGAACGAAAGCGGCTTGTTGTTCCCTCCGCCACAGACTCTTCCGTGGGAATTCCATCTTTATAAAGAAAGGACATCGCAGGTGCTAGTGAGAATTGCCGAGCGGAACGAGTCACGCGGAGAGACCACATTTACATTAACACTAAGTGAAAATTGCTTAATGTCTCAGTAGTTCCACTCTTCTGCAGTGACTCCGATCACCGCCTCCTTCAAGTGAAGGTTTCAGTCGAGAACCGGAAAAGAAGGTTTGGCACAATGCCGCAAAAAAGACAAATCAGGCTGTGACTGGTACATCGAGAAGGTCGATGTACTACACGACCGACTTCTGAAAGGAGTGCGAGCCTGCGGAAAGTGACCTCAAAAAACTTTGAACGCGTACCGAAAACCAACAAGAATTTGCTCGAAAGAAGAAGATCTTGAGGTGTGATCCGAATGCAACCTGTATCAAGCGACTGGCAGCCAACACCATTTGCAGAACAGTTTTGCGGGAGGACTCAAGGAGTGAAAGCAAAAGAGTGGAAGCAGCGAAGGAAGACGAAGTTTCAAGAAGTGCCGCAGGGACCTCTTTGAATATCACGTACCGCTGGTTGCATTATCGAACGAAGGCAAGACTCAAACTTCTCCCCGATCTAAGATGAAATCTAAGCAAAGAACCTCCATACCCCCTCCACTCATCAAAGCCCGTGACGATGCCGTTGTTCCCAGTGGGGAAGCACCACTAAGGAATCTACTTGCTGAAGTGCATACCACGTTAGACCATGAAAACGTCCACGTCTCCAGAACCGATCATCATTCCTTCGAATTACTGCGAGCTGGAGGACAACGGCTACACTATATTCCCGCGTCGCACCTGATGTCTTCCCTTTAGAAAGGAGAGGATTCCCGAACAGTGTAAAATCAAGGGCCGTCCTTCTCTTCGAGAAAGGCGTACGAGAGGATCTTCGAAGCTACCGTTCAAACTGCCTGCTGAATGTGCAGTATATGCTTTTTACCATGACTCGCTCGCATATCTAAATCACTAATTGAAGCCCTAAGAACAAGCGATTCTACAGGACTCAGCTGCATGGACCACATTCAGAGGCTTTCGAGGATCATGAAAGTCTGCCGGGAGTACCGGCTGCCTCTCGTCCCAACCTTCGTCGACTACGAGAAAGCCTTTGGTAGTGTCGAAACCAACGCCATCCTGTCAGCGCTAGTCGATTAAGGTGTGTGCCCAGCTTACGTGAGGACACTAGCCGACTGCTACAAGGACCTTACAAAGAAGATGCAGCTATTCCATGGCCTCTTGACAATCCCAATAGGAAAGGAAGGCTCGACAAGGTGCCACTATATCGCCAAAGCTATTCATCACGGCCTTGCAATTGGTGACTAAGGCAATGAACTGGGACGACAGAAGCATACGAGAAGGAGGGGGACTTTCTCACCCTAGCCAGAATCTCGCGCCTAAATAATGTGTCCGCCAGGCACATTTGGACTCGTTATAATTACGATCTCCTCGTAATACCAATCCCTCACAAGGTCCAGAAAACTTCATAGTAGACTTAGAAAGCTCGGAATGGTGTCAAACATAGGGAAAACCAGCCTCTTTACCCACGGAAAGCAGAAATTTAAAGCAAAGCGGAAAGCAATTAATTTAAATATGATCAAACTTTTGGATTATTACCTAATCAAATTACATGGAGAAGTCACGCAAAAAGAGGGAAGACTCTACAATGATTGCATAAGAATAACACCATTACTGTAAACTTCTTTCACATTTCGCAGATAGGTCTGATACTTTGATTTATGATGTGCCACTCTGTATAAAAATAGAACTGCAAATTTTTTTGACAGAACTAAGCTGTTTTCTCGAATCTCCAATGCAAAAGTAGTATCTCCATTTTTATATTAGGTCGTTCCGAAAGTAATATCGCTTTTTTTTCAATGAACACCACAATTCGTGGAAAAAAGGTTTCTAAGAGATCTTGGCAGCATTCGATGCAGCATTTCATCTTCTTTTTAGTACCCACATGTTGCAGTATAGCCAATGAGCTCTCGGAAAATTAACATTATTTGCATCCCATACTTTCTGAGACAATCAAGTTTTACATTTTTTGAGAAATTTTATAGGTAACAACACGCTAGAGCAAACCTTAGAGGATACAGTACCACTTTTTATCTTTCTCATAGCTCGCTGTAACTTTTAAAAAGATTTTTTACTGAAGCCATTGGATTTTGGCAGACCTACATCAGCCACAATCGCATCAAACACCAGTAGTTCTTCGAAATTTGAAACTTCCAAGATGTTACTATGATTTAGCACTTTAGAAAACAGATGGAGTTTACGGATTCGAAATATCAAATTTCGAATTTTTCGTGTACAGCCTATGGCGCGTTAAATCATGAGTTATGATAATTTGATCTCGAACTCTTCACGAGATTTCATCTCAAGATTCTATTAAAAGAATATAAGGAGTCATGAAAAGAAGAGAAAAATTGTTTTGCATCCTATAGGTCGCTCTATAAATACGTTACTTGGACTTCTTCGGAGGATTGGTATAAAACTTTAGAAAAATTGTCAAACTAGACAATCTGAAAAAGCATGAGTCGCAGATTTTGCTAATTTTCCGAGAGCTCATACTATGCTGCAATGATGATATGACCGTCGATAAGAGAAATGCTGCATCGAATGCTACCAAGGTCTCATAGAAATTCTTGTTCCACGAAATATAGCGTTCATTTGAAATAAGCGACATTACTTTCGGAACGACATAATAGATACGAGGATATTAAGGTATATGGATGTATATCCGTGAGCCTCAATTGTGGTCTTGGTTTGGACAGAGCACCTTGAATTCCCCCCCTCCCCCCCCCCCCCTCCCCCAATGGTTTGGACTCGCTTGGACAATATCGGTGCAGATCGTTGACTTTGCAACAAGCAAAAGTCACTGCTGAAAAAACCTCGAGAACCTCTAATTCGAAATTTGGTCTTAATTGAGCAGTTTCGCCATTGAACTTCATGCGAATCTTTCTTTAGAATCCCGTTTTCAGCATCCTAAGCGATTACTGGGTAAGGGGGGGGGGGAGCCTGCCATATCGTGTTATCCTGCTGAGCACGTATTTATAGGAAAGGCCGAGTATGCCTTGCAGACACACCACTCAAATGCGAGAATATGGCTTGGGTGAGAAATTGTCCGCACCCGCGTACCAGTTGGTGGGAGATTGTCCTGTCGAATCTTGGTTCTAAACGCCACATTGTACTCTTTTCGAAAAGTACCACTGAAGCAGAGACGATGGCGAAGGAAGTTAGCGATGTAGGCACGAAGACTGGGTTACGAATAAATCAGAAGAATTCTCAGATCCATTAAACACCCTTTGCAAGATGCAGAAATGAAACTGGAAGGTACTCCTATCAAAGAGACGTCTTTTTACGTGTATCCATTCGATGAACATAAAGAGCCACTTGAGGGGAGAACTTAACAGGAGAAGAAGAGCAGCCTCGGCCGCCTTGTGGCCCCTGAAGAAAGCCGCCGATGAACTGACGAACCCGGAGCTTTGTGCACACCTGTTTGACTAGAAAAGTTCTCCCGGCGCTTCATTACGGAGTCGAGACTTTGACCTGTAGCCACGATGAAAGGTCGGACCACTCAAAGCGGGCTCGGGCGCAGTCTTTTAAATATGACCAAAACGCTTTGGAGTTGGGCCACCTCGGTCGTAGCGGATGCTTACATACTTAGATACTTTCGTCCGTCTTCACAATACCTGCGGACCCCAGCTCAGAAGTAGCCAGTGATCCCTGTCCCTCGCTTCAGACATCCAAGGTTTTCGTGGTTGCCTCGGTGGCTGCCCCACGAGCTCCAGGTGCAAAAATCGTATGCAGCTGATTTCTCAGCTGATTCATCCGTTCCATAAACACGTCTCCATATCGTTAGTGGTATCCCTCAGAAAGGTTTTGCTTCACGAGAAATCCACTCAAATCTCCTTAGTGTCCTTAGTGTCATCTGTAGTCTGCTCTTCTCATGATATGACCGGCCCATAGGTGCTTCGCTTTCGCAACGCATTCCGCTGGGTCACGAAGACTGGGCGTTATCCTCATACCCGTCGTGCGAAGTCTGACAAGGTGTTGTCTCTCCCGCACCCCCGAGTTATGAATTGCTTAAATCTACTTCAACGTAGTATGAAATCCCCAGAACCTCAAACTACTTACTGCCCTAAAGGCAGAAGGTCCTTTAAAAGAATTCGGTGTCTTCAGTAGATAAGCATAACACAATCGCATAAGAATTACCATGATCAATCTGATCAGACCTTCTTCAGAAATTTGGGGTGCAAAAGAGATAAAAATCCAGCAAGCTTTGAGGTAAGGAAGCTGTCCATCGCTGATACGACATTCTGCACAAATCTCGAGAAATGGAGCTGCTTTTACCTGGATAAAGACGGCTTCAGATTATTTCTAACCAGGTCAAGAAAGTGTATACACCTACTAATTCGGAATCAAAAATCGCAGAATCAATGGCTTCTTCTTTATCATCTGCAAACAGATTGATTCGAAGCCCGCATCCACGATTTACACAGGGAAGGAGCAATTTCAGAAAAGAATATCGATAACTTATTACAGTAAGACAGCTACATGTGATCAGAAGTTTCGGTGGCAGATTTTTTAGCGCACTTTCGATGCCTTCCACCAACGCCTGCAAAATGTTGGCATGTTGCAACTCAGACCACAGCCCTAGACGTATACCTACCAAAGATATGAGCACGTGCTCTGCGTTCAAATGCTCCGCAAGTCGTAAAAACACTTTCGTAGAAGCAGTATATACTGAGTCTGGATTATCTAGCTCCGAATATGATTCCTGTACCAAATCACATTTCGTCCTTGTCCTCATAATCCCAAATTTATCAGTCAATGCTATAAGTCCTCGACCTAGTGTCGCTCTTCTTACTCCTTTCGCGTGCACCTTCTTGTAAGCAAAATCGAAATCACGACTGAATGTGCTCTCCTTGTGATTCATACGCGGCATGTAGCAAACTTTGACCGAAGCGCCACATTCATCCACCGTCTCACCAACAACCTACAAAAAATGAGTTCGTGTGCAATTATTTCAGCACATATAGCTGCCTCCAAAAATTCTTCTGTAGATAATTCTGTAACATCCCTCGTGATAATCCTCTAGCAAGATGGAATGAACCGGAATCCTCATATGTGATACCAAATGATTGCACTCCTTGCTCAGAAACATGAAGTTTCTCAGAGTTGGATAGGAACAATAGCGTAAGACTTTGATTTTCAGATGACTCGGCAGCATGTTCCAGTACGTAAAATGCTCTTCAAATAGATCAATATCAATTTTCGAGAGGAAGTCCTCATGTTGTTCCATGCAGTTTCGGAAGTAAATTCAGGAACTTAACCTGGAAGCTTCAATTTGAAAAGTTGGCTTTGGTGCTATGTTAGGAACGTGGCAAAGAGCTGATATAGACTAGTATTGTTCCACTTTCTTGAATCAAAAGTTATCCTCATGTTTATTTTAAAGGCGAGAGCTCATTGCTGCCACCAAAATTTATAAGGTTGAGCCGAAATTCGTTCGCACCATTTTCAAAATTTCCCAACTTCTGATTTTTCCAACCGATTTGACTTTTTATATTTTTGTATGAAAGAGTAAGTCATGCTCTTTATAAAGACATCTTAGCTACTTGCTAGTGAACATCTGTTGCATAGATAGTAGCGATAGAAGAAATTTGGTCAAAATTTGAATTTTTTGTGTAGGGTCATGAAGAATCGGAAACTTGCAACAAAAATCGGAGCAGTCAGTATTATAGGTTCTGTTACCTGCTCTTCCTAACTATGCAAAGCTTGTGCTGATTGAGCGTCTCTATGAAAAGTTATGATTTTCGAGCAAGCAATACAAAAAGGCGAATTTGATTTATTTTGGCATTTATCAGGAAAATCATAACTTTTCATAGAGACACTCAATCAGCGCAAACTTTGCAGAGTTAGAAAGAGCAGGTAACAGAGCCTATAATACTGACTGAAGTCTCCGATTTTTTATGACCCTACACAGAAAATTCGAACTTTGACTAGTTTTCTTCTATCGCTCCTATCTATGCAAGAAATGTTCATTAATAAGCAGCTAAGGTGCCTTTATAAAGAGCACGACTTACCCTTTCATAAAAAAATAAAAGCAGTCAAACGATTGGAAAAACCAGAAGTTGTGAATTTTTGAAAATGGTGCGAACGAACTTTCGGTTCAACCTAATACATAAAATGTGGTAGTTTGCCAGAACTAGCTTTTGCCTCTACTCTTACTGAATGCCTCCATCAAGTAAGAACCTTCTAGAAAAAGAGCTTCAAGCACCAGCATGCTACGTTCTCACAAAAACGTTAAGTTATCTAGTGTTGGTGAAAACGACGATGATGAATGCATGACTAAGCACAAAAATCTACCATTACAAGCATCAAAAAAATTCTTTGCTAAGGAAAGGTAGAGCAAATCAAAGCTAGAAATGTAGCTAATCTGAAGCCAAAGCCATAGCCTTACACCCACAAATAATAGGAAGCTCTATATTGTGTGACTCGATTTGGCAATAAACTACTTATTGCCAACCCCCCCCCCCCTTAATAGGGGAAAAACTTTATTACTTACTTCAACAAGTCATGAGCTTATCATATCAGTTGTTTACGCAGATTAGTCTAGAGACTTCGCACAAGGCAGAAAGCAAGAACTTAGCTCTCAAATAGTTAAAGCTTGAGCTCAAAGGTTGTTTTGAGTTTGGACATGTGATGTAAAGATGCTAACTTTTCAGGAACTGATTTAAATCTGCCGTTCATGAACACTTCATGTCTATAATGTTGCAAAAGTACTTTTCCTCAAATTTGTAAAATATCATTCTATGAATTTTTGGACAGAATCTGAAAAGTGTTTGTTTGGTCAGCTGTCTCCGATTATAACAAATAGAACTTAATACTCAAAATTGCAACTTCCACTTGTTTTCTAAGCAGTATAGTAGGATGCTGCAATGAAAATATTTGCCTACGTGTTAGGAGGATAAAAACTACGCTTCAATTCAATGTTCCATGAGAAAACCTTACAGATAACAAACACTCGGAAACTCAGAGCACAGGGTAATGGCAGCTGGATAGAAAACGCATTTTCCTTCTAGAACGCCATATTTAGCAGATCAAAATTTTTACAGCATGCTGTGCTTGCTGACTGGATTTAACACTACACAGAAGCTAAGACGCTATGTTACCATATCAGATATCCATGTGAGAAAAAACGAATTCTATCTGACCTGCACCTAATACCATGAGCGTCATGGAAAGCGACAGAAGGGTACTTATTACCTGAGTTTTAGACGATTTTCGTATTACAATTAGTAGAAGAAGTAAGACAAAATTTTGAGCTCTCGTGTTGGTGGCACCATAAGGTGAATCTTGACCGACCTATCATTTCATGGAACCTAATTGGGTAGAACTTACAGTAGAGTTCAAGAAAGTTTAAGCTCCTACAAACGGAATGGTGAAAAACTGATAGAATTTGCTGATGACCCAACCAGCAAAGTCCGCGTAAAGTACAGGGTGCAAAATAGAGGATCAACGGGCTTTGGCGCCGAATGTTATGGATTCTTCCCATCTCAAGTTGAAGATCGAAGTGACGATGACCTTTAATTTGGGTCACGGTAGTAGTTGATGTTAAGATACAGTGAAGAAAATAAAAATGCAAGGGGAGGGGGGCTCAATATCAAGAAGATCAGTGTGTTGATGCTCAAAATAAATTCTCAGAAATTCGTGAGAACCATTTCTAATTACTTTTGCCAAGCATGATAGCCTAAAGACATGAAGTTTCAAAATCGAGTTTTGTTTTCGCACCCCTGGGGTTTCTCAAGAGCGTTAAACACTTGTCTTTTACAAATTTACTTCCTACGAACATGAAACATAAAAGATTCCGTAATTTTCTATTTCAAACCAGGTTTTTTATTGAATTATCATTTGAGGATTTTTGCTTTTGTTTTTCTTGTCAAGTTGCATGCGTCCAGGTTGAGAGTGGCTCCCTAATGAGTTGTAGCAGTGTCCGTGTCCAGAAGGTGACTAGCGGAAGCGAGAAGATCGTTCCTAAAGTCGGGAGAGTGACGCCACAGTGTGAACAGCCTCGGCCACCGGCAATACCCTCCTTAGTTAGAGCCTTTTTCTCCGTTTTCGCGCTCTCTAGTGTTGACTTTCAAATTCAGCATAGCGAATAGGCCCAGGTAAGCACAAAATCTCGAAATCCACTTTTTGCTTGGATACTGCCTCTAAGCAGTGGCGCCTGGAATTGCACAGAATTTTTTGTAGTGAAAATATCGCAAAAAAGTCAAAAGCATTTTTTCTGGCATCTCGGCATGTTCAAAAAACCGCTTTGAAATTATTTGATTTTTCTTCGCTGGAAGGTGAGAAAAGCCTACCATTTTTCTACCATCAAATGGTCTAACAAGGAATGGAAGGGTGGTCGAAGTAGGCTTTTAGGATGAGATGTACACTGTTTTATAGAGCTTGGAACGTTGATTTCAAATCTACCTTTGCTACCTGCTGCGGGCTTCTGAGCGAGAAATTATGAATTGATTAAAATGAAAAAAAATGAATCAAAAATAAATTTAAATGAAATTATTCTACTCACAAAAGCCTTCATGGCTCCCGGCCTAGAAACCCGCAGCAGATAGCGAAGGCAGATTTAGAACTACCGTTACAAGCTCTACACACAGTATACATTTCATTTCAAAAGGCCACTTCGACCAGCCTTCCTTCCCTTGTAAGTTTACCCCTGCTTTGTACCAAGAAAGGTTTGCAATCGCCCTCTGCTTAGTATTTTTTAACAGCACGGAAGGACCTCAACCCATCATGTCTGCGTTAAAATTTCTTGGCCCAGGATTTTTTTTTAAGTTTGTTTTAAAAAGCATTTTGTAGCTTGAAACTTCTTGTCGATAACCATTTTTTTTTGAAAACAGTCAGGCTATTCCTCATGGACTTAGGCCAAAAAAGTGAAAAGAAAATTTTCGGAATCTAGCCTTTCTTATTTAAAGGCATGAAACTTTGGAGTGAATAGAGGTCTACGATAGAGAAGACATACGTAAGAAATTAGAAAAAACTTTCAGACACTGTGAAAAGTTTGAGGAAATCGGTTCTACTTTGGAAACTAGCTCCTTGAAGATAAGGCAAGAAACGGGTAATAATCTTGAATCAATCTAATATATCATTGCAAAAGAAGGGCAAAATCTGTACATTGTAGGTAGGCTGATTGTGCAACAGAGACGTTTTCGTCTCATAACTTCACTACACTTATACAGCGCTGGTAATATCTATAAAGTGATGACTATATATGTCCGAAATAGTGTTTTAGGTATGTCGGCTTGATATCATTAGCAAAGACGGCTCTCAGTTTCATCAATTCTGGCCGAAAGAAATACTGTCTCAAATTCTGCTTTTTACAATACCGCTCTCAGAACGTGCAAAATTTCCGTGAATGTCGCGGAAACCCCGGAATTCCGCGAAGGACCGCGAAATTTTCGGAATTTCGCGAAATTTTCGGAATATCGCGACATTTTCGGAATTTCGCGACATTCCGGGAATTTCGCGGAATTTTCGGAATATCGCCATAACTTCCTTCGGAATGCATAAATTCTGGATCTGAAACAAGGGTTATACTCAGCTCATTAAGGCGAATCTTTTGGTACCTTGCCTTACCGTAATTGTCGGGGCACGATTGGTGCACGGTCTGAGATGAATTTTGCATTTTGGGAGAGAGGACGTGGATGTACGGCAGCAAGTGAATCCTTTTGCGATTTTTCTGAAATTCTAAAGAGGGGGAAGGGGGGAGGAGTAATCAGTGGTATTGGGTGTGGTTAGTTCTAAAATATGCGAACATGCCGTGATGATGCCGTCGATGTTGTTTTTCCCCTCTTCTGTTTATTTAGTAGCTCCAAGCACCTATTTATTACTAGAAGGGGTGGATTCGAGTACAGGACACGAATATTGTGTTCA